TGATTAAAAGCGCAAAATTTGTGATTTTTCAGTTTTCAATTACTCTTTAGCTATTGGGGTTACCAGACTTTGGTGGCCATTTTCTCGCTTATTTCAACACTAAAACCAGGCGACTTTACTTCCTTCAATCGCCAATATCTTGAGTTCTGTTCAAGATAAATGGATATTTATTTCATTTGAAGTAAGGTAAATCAATCAGCTTTTTGATGATACCAATAACTCCATATGCCAAAAAAATTGACGAGCGCCCGATTTCACCGCGTCGTGACACATATGCAGTTGCGAGTGCAGTAAAACTCGTACTAAACTAAACCACCACTAAAGGATACGATTTTATACTTACAGGAGAAGAGTTTTTCAAGTGCCTATGAATGTGACAAACAACAACTTAACATGACAAACCTGATTATATGTGGGTTGTTGGCGGATGCTCTGGTGTGGTTTTCTTCTTCTTTCCTATGAAACATCTATCTTCCTTATCTCCCCTTCTTCTGTTTTATGTTTGTTACTCTCTTGTAACAGCTCTAAACTTCTGGCGTTCATATGACCTTATGCAGTTGCGAGCGCCGAAAAACCTCTACTAAAACAAACAAACCTGATTATGTATTTGTCTATGTGTGTGTGTGTGTGTGTGTGTGTGTGTGTGTGTGTGTCCAGGGCTGGGAGCAAGTGAAGGAAGTGTACCACCAGGAAGTGGACAAAGTACTGACCAGTCTACCGGGTGTCAGCCACAGTGTGGACCAGACAGGTACTTACTTACTTTTTACTTTTTCATGCTCTGTTGACGTTAAACGTCGAGGGGAGATGCTGTTTTCTATGTTAGGCCAGCTCGGTAGCTATTTCAGTTGGGATGTTATGTTTTCTCAGGGTTTTCCTGACACCTTCGATCCAACTTTTGCATGGCCTTCCTCTTCCTTTATAACCTGAGTGCTTTGTGTTGTAGGCTCTCGAGGCTGGCTGGCCAGGTGACATACGTAATAGGTGGACAAACCATTTTATTCTCTGTCTTTGTAGGTAACGCAGGCAGGACTCAATGCCGATAGCTGCTCTTACTTCTTCATTTTTCTGCCTGTCTCGTCTTGTGATGTCAATTGTTTTGCAGAGACTTTTCATTTCGCATGCAGTAGTGATTTTGCTTTTTTGGGTTTTACTTAGTGTCCAGGTCTGGCACTGGTAGCATAATGTTGGTATGGATATTGAGGTGATAAGCTGTCTTCTTATATCCATGTAGATGTTTGGGTTAGATAGGAGGGGTGCGAGCTGGTAGGTGACAGCGTTGGCTTTTGAGTTCACTTTTCTATTTCTCTGTCTATGGACCCATTTTCAGAAAAAGTAACTGCCAAGATATTTAAACTTTTTCATCTGTTTCAGTTGTTTACTATTGACATGGATGTTCAGGGTACTACGGTTTCAGCTCACTTTCATAACTTCTGTTTTTGATGTGCTTATTTTCATGTTAAATTTCTGAAAGCTGTTGTTCAGTTCGGTAGTGTGATTTTAGAGGCTTTGTTGGTTTGGATGAATAAGACATTAGTTGAATCGAAGTTCAAGTAGGCAGGTGTAGGCTATGTAAATCAGAGTTGGTGAACAGACAGATATGTAGGTTGGGATTGGTAGATAGAATGTGGATCAGACAGGTTTGGATGTCAGGATTGGTTGACAAATTGTTGATGAGACACCTATGGATGTGGCTTTGTTTGAACATGCTGATAATCTGGGGGGACAAATGTGGTGACAGGCAGGGCTAGCCATTTGCCTTACAATGTCTGTGTTACAGACTAGTTTTAACATAATAGACTTAATAGTCTTTTATTTTTTGGTTTTGGAGGGGGCAGGGGAGGGAGAGGGGGCAGACAAGAAGACAGAGTGTGAAAGAATTAGAAAAACGGACAGAAAAGCTCTGTTTCCAATTCCTGTGTTTTGTTGACCACGCTTGTGGTAGCTTGTCTTTACACAAGTGTCTTGTTTCTTCACTTGAAGTTTTAAACTTTTCAGAGCAAGAATTGCCGAAGGATGACCTTGAGCTCAGCTTGGTTGTCCTTGACCTTCTGGTTCAGGGTCTCCAAGGTCGTGACCTTTGGCTGTGTAAGGAACGTATGGTCCAAGCTGTGCAAGCTGTTCTTGGCAAAGCTTTATGCAGGTAAAGAGTGAGAGAGAAAGAGAAAGAAATAGAAAGAAAGAGAAAGAGAGAGAGAGAGAGAGAGAGAGAGAGAGAGAGAGAGAGACAGAGAGAGACAGAGAGAGACAGAGAGAGACAGAGACAGACAGACAGATAGACAGACAGAGCGAGAGAGACAGAGAGAGACAGAGACAGACAGACAGATAGACAGACAGAGCGAGAGAGACAGAGAGAGACAGAGACAGACAGACAGATAGACAGACAGAGCGAGAGAGACAGAGAGGGAGATAGACCGACGGACAGACAGACAGACAGACAGACAGACAGACAGACAGACAGACAGACAGACAGACAGAGACAGACAGACAGACAGACAGACAAGACAGGGGTCAAGGAAAATAATTTCAAGTTTATCTTTTAAGTGACTTTACTTGTTTACCTGATCCTGGGAACGACATCATAGCACTCTGGGCATTGCCATACGTACTCCGCTCTCCGCTCCAATATCCACCCCAGAGTCCGCCTGCTGATAGTTCCAGTGTTCATTTGGTTCTTTTAAGTGAACTTGTCTTCATATTTGAACTTGTCTTTCTGTCTGTCTTATGTGTCCATTCCCTTGTCACTTCTCGTCTGCAGGTTGTTGGAGGGTGTCACTGGTAGGTCCTTTTCTTTGTCTATCCTTCTGTCGTGTCTGTCTGTGCGGGTGATTGGAGGGTGCCACTGGTAGGTCCTACTCTTTGTCTATCCTTCCGTCGTGTCTGTCTGGTCTGTGTGGGTGGTTGGAGGGTGCCACTGGTAGATCCCACTGTTTGTCTTTCTCTCTGTCATATCTTGCCTGTCTTGTTTGTTCCCAACACAAAATGAGCGTGGGTGGTTGGCGGATGCTCTGCTGTGGTTTGCTCTTTCTTTCCTATCAAACATCTATTGTCCTTATCTCCCCTTCTTCTTTTTTATGTTTGTTACTTTCTTGTTACACTCTAATCTTCTGGCACTCATATGACCTTATGCAGTTGTGAGCGCCGAAAAACCTCTACCAAAACCAACAAACAAAATGAGCATGATTGTGTCTGGGTGCTTCTCTCCACTCCAAATCAGACAAACCTACTGATACATTGTCTCTCTCTCCACCACCTGTGCATTGTTGGAAGGCTTTCCTATTACTCGTCTGTCTGTCTGTCTGTCTGTCTTTCTGTCTGTCTGTCTGTCTGTCTGTCTGTCCGTCTGTCTGTCTGTCTGTCTGTCTGTCTGTCCGTCCGTCCGTCCGTCCGTCCGTCCGTCCGTCCGTCCGTCCGTCCATCCGTCTGTCTTTCTATCTGTCTGTCTGTCTGTCTGTTCCCCCCCCCCCCGCACTAAATGGCCATTATTGTGTTCATATGCCTCTTTTTACTCAAATAAACAAATAACAAGATTATCTCTCCCTTCTGTGGATGATTGGTGGGTGTTCCTTTTTCTTTTCTTCTGTACCTGTCTTGATGTCTCTCAATCTCAGCACTAGATTACCGTTATTGTGTCGACATACTTCTCTTCGCTCTGATGAATAAACAAATAAATGATGTTCTCATGTCGATCTCGACTCCGCCCCGCTCTCCCCCTCACTCTGTGTTTCAGGTACCTGGAGAGTGCTATCTTGACCTTGACCTCAGAACCGCAGCTCACCGCCTACCTCCGTCTGCTCCGGGAGACCGTCTGGCCTCAAGGTCAGTTGTGGTCAGACTCGCCACCACCAAGGTCACCGGAGGAGAGAGAGGCTCTGCAACAACAGGCTAAAAGATGTCTGATTAACTTCTTCCCAGGTCAGTTTACCAACCAGCATTTGTTGTATATGATAGTCTCTTTTTGTCGTTGTACTCACACAAGAGGTGGCTGTGGTTGTTCCTGTAGAGAGGTTGGGATCTACATACCTTCTAAACTCTCCTGTAATATATGTAATTTTTGTAAGAAATGAGGTCATAAAGTATACCTGCTGTATTATACGGGCAACATTACATACAGCCAGGTGGGGCCAAACTGAAAGGGAAGTAAGACTGAAATAGGATTTTCCTTTGAACTGCTTTACTTTACTTTATTTTTCCAATCCAGATCTAGCCTGTCGATATCGCAAAGAATTTGGTTCCATTGAACAAATACCTACTTATTAAAAGTCTAGTGATTACAACACTTCATGGCATCTTGCCACTCCCAGTCTTACAGATTAAATCAATCTCTATCAACGCAACAACCAACAGTTCTTATTGGTGAGACACTTATATTTGATGCTCGACTGGTACTTGATTTCAGGCATGGTGAGCCCATATGTACGCACTTTAAAAATTCGGTCACTTTTGGATTCAAAGTATACAGTGGAAACCATATATAACAGGCCCGGTAATAACAAGGATCCGGTAATAACAAGGATTTTTAAAATCCCCGTTTTTTCCTACTCTTTGTCTCTATTAAAAGTTATCGGCAATAACAGGGCCTCATCGTAGCCCGACCGGTTATAGCAGGGACAAAGGCTGTTAAAAATGTGTAAAAAGTAAGAGCGAGAGAGAGAGAGAGAGTAACGCGGTGATGGAGCAAGCCCAGGCAAGCCATGCCACAGCAAGCACACGCTGCTTGTGAAGCGAGAGAGGGCTGCGGTGTGCTGCAGACCTCGATCTAGCCCAAAACCTAGCAACACACACGCGTAATGTGTCAACAACGATGTCAAGCGCAAGAGAAAATGCCTTTCAATTGACAAAAAATACGAAATAATCCAGGCTGTTGGCAAAAAGCAAGCTCCACTGGCACAGATTTGTTGTCAGTTCGACATTCCACGAGGGTCGATTCACACCATTATCAAGGATAGAGAGAAGATAGTGGCAGCATACTCCAATGGGAAGTTTGCTCTGGATCGAAAGAA